ATACATAATATATTTTATTTTTAATTAAAATAAATTTAATCAATAATTTTTTAAAAAATTTTTTAGTTTGAAAAATCACTGATAAAATATATTTTTATTTTAATTAAAATAAATTTTATCAATTTTTTTTAAATGTAATAATTTTTTTGTTATATTTGTTTGATTTTATAGATCTAAATATTTTTTGGTTCAAAAAATGTTTAGGGACTTAATCGTTCAAAATATGAATGTTTATTGGGTTTTTTTTCGGACTTTTTCCATTATTTTACCACATTAACCGGTTGTATAGGTCATAATGATGTATCTAACAGGTTTTGGAAAGTCCAAAGAGTTATTTAACATGTTTAGAAATGTCCAAATATTTATTTATTCCAAAAAATTGTCCAAATACTTAATCATTCTAAACGCTAAAGTCCATTGGTTTTTTTTTAGACTTTTCCCTCCTTATCTTATATCCCCCCAGCTATTAGGGTTTCTTTCGTTTTCTGATTAGCCGATTGCACCCGCGGAGCAACTTAGTTTCCGGTAATGTGATATTTTGACGATCTGTTTATGTATTTTTGCCTACACCTATGAAGATTTTGGTTTTTGATTTATGTGTGTCTTGTTTTCCCAATTTACACCATCAAACGCGTCATATACTTCATCTAGAATTTTGTATTTAACTCACCTGAAATGTATGTTAGTGCTCTTCAATTTGAAATCTCTTTTTACAGTTTTTTGGCTTATTATGTTGTGAATTTATCGTAATATAGTCAGGAGAATTTGTGTAAAATGTGTTCCAGCCCTTCGAATTTGTGTTTGTGGATTTTGGCAATGTATGGGAAGTGTTGATTTAGTTGTGTGTATGAAGTACTAGTATTCCTGAGCAAATAAAGGATTACAATACTATCTACCTCACACTGTTTGATTCACACATTGGATTGATCAGCTAACTGTTTGCTTGCTAGTTGATGCTATATAGATTATCTATTTTTTACGTGTTTCTTGATGACACATACTTTACATGCTTCATGAACACTTGTTGTCCGTTTAGAGTCGGGTTGTGTAAATTTAGAAAAATTAGTCATGTTTGGAGAATGTATGTGTTTTGTGGCCATTGCTAAGTTTGTATTTCGATATGGGAGTTTAAAACCGTTACCTGGTTCCATTTCCAGAGCCAGTGTATAGTGAGGGCAGAAGAGCAATGGCACCAAAGGACAGAAAGCCCCATGTGTGCAGGAACCCTGATTAGAGGTGTGGGGAAATACTCAAGCTCTAAGATGTATCACAAGAGGGGTCTTTGAGCTATCAAGGCTAAGAATGGTGGTGCTTTCCCCAAACACGACAAGAAAGTTGCTGAGAAGAATAACTGATATAACAGTAAATCAAAGATTGAGATTGACCAAAAATAAGTAACAAAAAAATGTTATGAATTCAATGCCATTTAACTCAAATTATAAATCAGAGCGAACATACAGCCACCCAATTGAAATAAGAACACAAGAGATGCAACGACAATGACCCATAATGAAAACCAAATCGAAATCACTAAATTACGTAAATTTTTACCATCAATGAGCAAAAGAAGTTAATGATTAAACAAAGAAGCAGATGAAATCAAAGAACGAACCAACAGTGCAAGCAGATTGTGCGAGTAGAACATTTTTCAAGTTTCAGAGAGACAAACAAGGATTCGGAAGTGGGTTTTTGTCAAGATTTCTTGAGGAGTGGCTGAGTGGGAGTGTAGAGAAAGTGGGGTTAAAATTGAAAAAAATTGGGGGAAATTAGGCGGGGCGGGAAGGAATTGAAATGGCGCCATTTGAGGAAACCCGGTTGAGAATTCGTATATTCATCTGGGCTGGATTATTTGATTGTATGGGCCGTGTGGCTAATGGAACATTCACCCTAGTTTAAAAGGTGGATTCCATTAGAAAGATGGTCAAAAACCGATAAAGGACGGGTCTAAATCGGTCATTGATTTTCTTTTCATAACCGGTTCCGGTGTAATCGGTCTTGGACCTGTCTCCTTTAATCATAGCTAGTCTTTATAACCGGTCCTGACTCCAATATCAAAAAGTAATTTTGAACATATAAAAATTCTTGTTTGATGGTTCTTTTAATAATATTGTATTGAAATATACTTTAAAATCTCTATGCATCATTCAAATGCATTTTAAATATTTATTTGCAAAAAATTTGTACAAGTTTTTATAATTACGATTTTTTATATTTACTATTAAAACGATTCAAGAAGCTTGAAAATTTTCCAAAACAACTTGTACAACTTGAAATTTTTGGTTAAAAAACACTTGAAATCTTGTAAAAATCTTTAAATATGTTTTATAAAAACTTTTTTTAAAATTGGGTCTATGTATAGTTTGTCCTGGATAAGACTAGACCTTGAATTTTTCTAAACACCATAATTAGTTACAAACCACCGAAGTCGGGACCACCTGGGCCGAACCGATTTTGGCCGTCTCTCTCATTTTAAGAGCTACGTTTAATGGTTCTTTTAATAATCCATGTGTTTTGATGTCTTGTAGGATTAGAGCTCATATAGTATGGTTACTCTGGATTTGATTCATGTGATATGTAATTTGTTACAGGTATAGTCCTTGTTGTTTACTCTACTAAAAATTTATACTCGTTTAACTTTGGAGGGTATTTTGATATTTTTACTGGTCTTTTTGTCTTTTCATCTTAATATGTGTGTGTATATACACGTACCCAATCACCCACCGCCTTATATAGAGTTTGGGAGTTTTCACCACTAACTCGTAACTCTCCATCGACGACTTAACTTCACTTTCCCTCCCTTAACATCGTCTATTCCACGTGACACCCC